CCACTCTAGTGTATGTCTTCATCTGGCTTGCTTCATAACGTAAAGCTCCTCTGAACACCAAGGAGTCCACAGTGCTGCAGAGCATTCTCAGGAGCGATCACGCCAAGTTACAAACAATAAGAGAAAGTCTGGGAATATTTTCATCTTTATCACAACTGTAAATTTGATCTAAGACAGATGCCTGGTGGACCAATTTTTAACATCTTTCTTCATCCTTTGAATGGGGGTGGGATCTAAATTGTTGTAAGCATTCTTAACCCTCTGCCTTTATGCTGCTTTTTCTTCTCTCCTCTGGTTGGCCTGTTAACCCCTTAGCTTCTGCCAATGGATGCTATTCTAGTTGCTATTAGTATTATTAGAAGTACAGTAGTGTTTTTCTTCTTTAAAAAAATGTTTAGGGGTACTCTCATTTTCCTACTCATATTGAAATACTGCCGCTCGATGAGGCCAAACTTAGATTCACAAAATATTTAGGGGTATGCGTACCCCTGCGTACCCCCAGAAAACAGCACTGGGTTGCATTTATTAGTTGCTTTTCTTCACAAAGTGACCCAGAACAACCTAAAGAGTGCAACAGACGTTATGACTACATCAGCCCCAGCCAGCATGGCCAAAAATCAGCAAAGGAGAGAGGTGCAGTCCTAAATAGCTGAAGGTCACCAGTTGGGGAAGGTTGCTCTGGAGTTAACTCACTTGTCCAAATTCTTCCCTTCTTATGTTGCTTTGCCTGCTTTTTGACCTCTTCCCCTCACCTTCTTAATCAATTTATTACCAACTCTGGCTTCTTGTTAATTTATCCTGAGAGTCTAGCAACAGGTCCCCCCCCCCCCAATAAAAACAGTTCATGCTATAAAAAGTGAATTTAAAGAATAGCACTCCAATAAAGAAAATGAAGATCTTGAAAGTCAGTGATGTATTTAAATTCACCATCTCTCTCCATGTGACTCTTAAGTCCTTGTTCAACTACACTTCAGTTCAATATACACACAGGCAAAGAAGAATGCAGGCTTGTAAAATGATTCCTGGTCCAAAAAACACCATGTATTTTAGTTACCATGAACCAAAACAGATTTAAACAGTCCCCTTGTGCCAGTAAAGTGTAGAGGTTGGTAGGCAGAAAGTATTGTTCAGAACTTCAAAGTTAATGAACATATTGCAACTGACCTTCATGGCTTTATGAAGAAAAGCAAAAGGCCCCCTGGTCTCAAGATGAGATGACCACCCATAATATCCCATAGAGCAGCCTTCACCAACTTGGTGCCTTCCAGATGTTTTGGACCACAATCCCATCAGACCTAGCCAACATAGCTATGCTGGCTGGGGCTGGTGGAGGTTGTAGTCCAAAACATCTGGAGGGCACTGGGTTGGAGAAGGCAGATGCAGAGAATTGCAGAGAATGAAAATGGTAGTGAGGGGAGATCAAGAGCCAACCAAGAAAGTTTTTAGGTATTGTTGATATTTAGGGCCTACGCTTGTACATGTTAAAGCACATTAACCCATGAAGACACAGGATGCTTTTGTTAATATTACTGTTTTATGTTTACATGCTGCAAGCATTGGTAAACAAACTATCTGGTGTACTGTTTATTTGAGCCAGGCTTCCCTATAGCTATAATGATTTCCATGAAGGTGGTGGATCAAACAATTGACACTTGTGTTATGGAAATCACAGCTTCAAACATAGAAGATACCAGTCTGCTAATAATAATATAATTTTATATTTGTTGACATCGAATCCCCACGACGGCGAGAGCTCCCATTGCTCGGTCCCAGTTCCTGCCAACCTAGCAGTTCAAAAGCACGTCAAAGTACAAGTAGATAAATAGGTACTGCTCCGGCGGGAAGGTAAATGGCATTTCCATGCACTGCTCTGGTTTGCCAGAAGCGGCTTAGTCATGCTGGCCGCATGACCCGGAAAAATGGTCTGTGGACAAACATTGGCTCCCTCGGCCAGTAAAGTGAGATGAGCGCCACAACCCCAGAGTCATTTGCGACTGGACTTAACTGTCAGGGGTCCTTTACCTTTTTTATCTGTTTCAAGAGACATTGGAGTGTGCATGGGGGTGAAGTAAAACCACTGCATTAGCAGTACCAAAGTGACCTTCCCAGGGCACAAGCCTGGGACAACAAGGCTCCTCTCAGCGCCTCACTAATGTGTTTCAAAGGAATGCAGAGCAATACATTTGACATAAGCTTGGCTGCAGGACTTGCTGGAAGTTGGCATACAAGACACCATGCAACTGTCTTAGGGACTCCACTCTGGAGTGGAGCCCCTTCTGCTACTCACTTCCCTCTACAACAGAAACCACCTTCTTGACAGTTAGACCCACTATTGGTCTTCTCCATTCAATTGATGATTGAACAGCAAACTTTGCATACCCCCGAGGGACCAGTAATCAGGTATGGACTACCCTTTTACCTCATTATGGTATTATTCTTTTAAGATGTGTTTGTACCATATTGTACCTTATCACGTATCTTCCCACAGGGCACAGTCATCGCTTGTGCATTTTTTGTGTGTTTGTGATTGCCTCCATCATCATGCAACATCATTAATTCTTGATTCTGTGATGCTTAGGTGACTGAATCTACTGTTAAATTCCCATTAACTGCATGATTACTTTATTAAATGCCAATTCAGAAAAACAGCTGAGCATCCACCAAAAATGATCTGCCAAGTATTTCAAGGCAATATAGGTGTTACAGAGATAAACCATGTGAGATGAAAGAAATGGTAATGAACAGTGGGGAAAGTAATTTCAAAATCAATGAGCCACAGGACATTAAAAAGAATCTAGGTAAGACACAAGAGAGATCAAATGTGTGATCAGTGTATTTGAGAAAATGAATTTTGGAATGAAACACCTAGACCAAAAAAAAAAAAAAAGTATGTCAAATCACTACATTACATTTTTCAGAAAAGATATATTGGTCTCAAATTAATGGGATGGCATTAGTAATTGAAAATGGCATTTATTCGGTTTAGAGTCTTTGCTCTTGTTTTATATATGAATGATTCAGGTGCACAGTCTGCAAACTCTGTCCTAATATATATATATAATTCACATATTTCAAAAGCAATTTCTTTTACCATCACATATATGATGTTTCAAACATTTATTCCCTTTGCAAACTGATGAGATTACACTTAAATAACCAAACATCACTATTTAAAACCAGTTATTCCAGTAAGTAAAAACATACTGTGATAAAATTAAACTTGAGTGTCCATGACAATTGAAGCATCAGCTGTAAAGTACACTGGGTGACCTTGGGCCAGTCATTTTTCTCTCAGTCACATTTTGTGAGGACAAATGGAAGGAGAAATGACAAGGACAAAACGTGAGTGAGTGAATTATTTTTAAAATAACGCTTGACGTATTTTACATCACATGTAAGGGTGATTTTGTATGCCATCTTGTTGGTAACGCGTATTTCTGTGATTGGTAGTTGTTTTAAAGCGCATTTAATATTCTGTTTTCAAGTCGTTAATTCACCCTCAGACCCTAGGTTAAAGGGCTGGAAAATAAAAAATAATCTGCATTCAAGTAACATGTGCCACTTCTTTGCATTGTTAAGTTACTCAGGTTGAAAACCTTTACCCAGGTAACTAGCAGTAACCCCCACTGAACTTCATGAGACTTGTGTTTGAGTAGATATGTACAGGATTACATTGTCAGAGTACATTAATTTGCTGGGAACATTAAAGAGTCTGGAAGTGTTTATATGTGTTTTAGTGGTTTATGTTTTTATGGTCTTTGTAAAGTCAGTCACTTTGGGTTAGTCCATAGGTATCAATTCTTATTTAAAATAAATACATGCATAGTATTTCAGTTATGCTTTGCTCTTGTGATTCAGGTATCTTAATATTTCAGAGAAACTAAATGCATGCATAGCAAAATCCAGAATAGTAGTTTCTATAATAGTGCCATTCATTAGTCTTGTTGATACTTGTAACCCTACTAAGCCCTCTGAGGCGCATCTTGTGACATCATTGTACAGTTCTGAGTATTGGTTCAAGACACATCTTTTTGTCCAGACCTCTGAAGGAGTGGCCATTTTCTCTCCTGCTGCATTGCTGCCCTTGCAATTGGGTTTTAGCTTTTTCACTTTGATCTTAATGGTTTTAATGAATTGCACATATTATTGTTATTATTGTTCTTGGTTTATTCTTGGCCTTCTAAACAACCATCTCAAGCTGATGCTCATTAAAAACAGTCAAAAACGCAAAACAGAGCAAATACATTTAAAACAAAACTGAAAACATATAAAGCAGACTGTTGTGGTGAGGACCCATTTATCTAGCTGAGAAAACCCATTGGAGGTAAAATGTTTTCAGTTGTTTCTGAAAAGTGTAGATAGTGGGTACATCTTGACAGCAATGCTAGTTCACAGAACAGGGCAGTCACACTAAAAGCCCTGCTGCAAGTGACTGTGGAGCTATCTTCTGATATTTTTGGAATTTGCCAAAGAAGCTGTTCTGCAGACTGCAGTGATCTTCTGGGTGTAAGGCTGTCTGTCAGGCAACCAGTGCTAGATAGGTTTGAGATTCAGGTAGGTAGTCATGTTGGTCTGACATAGTCATAATAAAAAAATGAAAAAATTGTCCAGTAGCACCTTAGGTAAAGGCAAAGGGACCCCTGATCATTAGGTCCAGTTGTGGCTGACTCTGGGGTTGCGTCCGACTCTGGGGTTGCGGCGTTCATCTCGCTTTATTGGTCGAGGGAGCCGGTGTACAGCTTCTGGGTCATGTGGCCAGCATGACTAAGCTGCTTCTGGCAAACCAGAGCAACGCACGGAAATGCCATTTACCTTCCTGCCAGAGCGGTACCTATTTATCTACTTGCACTTTGACGTGCTTTCGAACTGCTAGGTTGGCAGGAGCTGGGACTGAGCAATGGGAGCTCACCCCATCGCGGGGATTCGAACTGCCGACCTTCTGATTGGCAAGTCCTAGGCTCTGTGGTTTTTACCCACAGCGCCACCAGCATCCCTAAGTAGCACCTTAGAGACCAACTAAGTTTTTTCTGGGTATAAGCTTTTGTGTTCATGGACATTTCTATGCATGCACATGAAAGCTTATACCCAGAATAAACTTAGTTGGTCTCTAAGGTGCTACTGGACAATTTTTTAAATTTAGATATGTTTTAAATAGTGTAATGTAGGTAACCCACCCTGGGATTAATCAGCGAATGGTGGGCTATGTAAAAATAAATAATGAATAAAATAAATATATTTTTGGCTGTTTTGCTTGCTTGCAAGTGTAAACTTTTTAGTGAAAGCATTGCAATCTATTCAACTGAGGTAACATAAGCTAGTGAACAGAATAGGGCATTCAAAGCACACACAGATGTCATCAGTGTTGTGGGCATCACATGTATCAGTCTTATTCAGGTTTTACTTTATTTATTTTTTTTAAAAAAACATCTAGTGCAGTTTGTGACATACCTTGTTGATTTACTTTATGTAGTTATTTCATGGTCTGATCAGGGAATCTTTTCTTTCCAATTAATTTAAAAGCACTCATGGTCATGTTAATGGATGGCTATAATCACTCAATCTATATTGCGGGGGTGATTTTCAATCTAATTACTCTGCCAGTCACTATTAGAGGTGTTAATGTGGTAGCTAAAGGTCACCAATTGCTCACGGCGAGTTTCCCCCCTCATTTGAGACAATGCTATTATGGAAAAGCGCCTGTCAATTACCTCTAGATGCATTTTTATGTCAATTAACAGCCATGACTGCTACGCTACAGCTGAGTACAATGTATGACCGAACCATCTGGTTATAGCTTTAAGTTGCATTTGAACATGTGTAATTTCGATGTTAAAATCTGGAGGCTATGCTGTGGTTATTTTTGCTAACTTCCTTGAGCATCTGTAATTAACTGATGCTGAGAAATCAACCCATTAATGGAAAACGTGCATGATTACTGATGGATGCAACATCAAAAATGGAGCCTAGGCAATGTTTTCTTACACTGTAATGCTACTGTTTGCTGTAGCATTATGTAGTTCCCATAGTCTATCAGGTTTAATTAAAGTGCAGGCTTTGCTTTCAAATGTTTTATTATGAATTCTGGTTTGCAGTTGTCGCAGCACAAATGGGATCGTCCTCAGAAGGCGGTCCTTCTTGCGACTGGGTCCCTGGACACACCCCTGACTAAGTAGGTTTTGTTTCTAGGTCTAAGTTTCATTTCTCTAAATAGGCATCATGGGTCACAGCCAATGAGGAAAAGGGTGGGGGTGGTTAAGGAATTATATAAGCATCAGCGCAAAAGTGCCCTAGGCACTTGACTGGCACTGCTGAACACCCGCCCCCGCCCCCCGCCCTTAGTGTATGTTCTCAGCCTTGCTTTGGACTATGTGTAAGTTGCCTGTCTTGGGACAGGGGGCGGGTAGGAATTTTTATCCATTTGGCAAATTGGCATTGGCCACTTGGTTTTTTGCCTACCCCCTTAGCAATCGTCACAACTTTCCAGGTTTGGCGGTTAGGCATTGGTTTAATTTTGTGTGTGGAGGGGAGGTGTGGCCATCACCTGCCCCTCAATGATCAAAAGGTATTCCGTTAAAGGAATCTGGGGGTCCTGGATCTTGTCCGAAGTCCACTTGATGGGCTAGGGCCATGCTGAGATCACAGGAACCTCACAGTAAGCTTCTGTCGGGCAAAACCCCAATGTTGCTGCCCCGATCGGTTTACCTACATAGATTCTGTCAACTGGGGCAGTAGTCCGTTATAGTCTTCAGCCAGCGCCTATGCCAATACCACTCACATTCAATTTGAAATCAATAAAGTTGTGGCCTTAATGTTACACATCAACCTTAATTATGTGTTTGTGTGTAGTTATTTCACAGGGGGCTGGCTTGGGGCCTCAAGACACAACTCCTATTTATTAGCTGCTTTCTGTACATAAGAATAGGATTGTCTCTTCGATTTGAAGAAAAAAACACACAAAATTCTTTAAATATCCTTATAATAGGAATATAAATGGGTCTCTGTAACGAAATGTTACAATGCAGTGTGTTTCTCTTGTATTGGTCTCTACAGCCACTGCAGGTGCTGTAACTCTTCAATGGTTTGACTTTACCTCTGAAGGCACTCTCTTCCATTGTCTCCAGAGGCAGACAGATGTCAACAACAACAAGTACTGAGAAGGGACTGTGGGGTGGGGGACTTCAACAAACCAAGAACTAAGATTCCAGCGGACATAAGGTAACTAGGAATATATCCTTTACAACCATGTGCTGAACAACCTAGGATAGCCTTTGAAAGAGGATGAATGGATTTATGCTTCTACCCCAGTCAAATAAAAATATCAAGGCATCACCCCAACATCTCTTTCAAATATACAAAACCAAAGCAAATTACACTGTGCAATAAGGGTAGTCTTGCAGCACCTCACCTGTGCAAGAAAGAGCTAGCAGGAAAGATGTTTTTTCTCTCCATTTTTTTACCAGGAAAGTTTATAAACATGGGTCTGTTTCCAAATCAAGTTGAGTGTTTACTAATCACTATTCCATGTACAGGATGCTCACCTAATGAAGAAATGAAGGTTTTAGCCCTGGGCATGACCTCTGAAATAATCCATTCATTAGCAGAAGTGGCATTTGGACTATCTAAATCTTCTAATTCTTTCAAAAATCAGATCAAATTTACTTTTTCAACTAACTTTCATGAAGATCCAAACCTCCACAACATTCTAATGCACATGATGATCACTTTTTTGCTTGGGCTGCCCCATTTGTTTCCAAAGTGATAGCAGATTTTTGGCTTGCAAATGAGCTTGCCCACATTCCTGCTGCTTCCACTGAAGTGATTGGAGAAGTCATTGTGGAACTCCATAGCCCAACATTATATCCTTCTTTGCCCGAAGGAAAATGCTGGAGAAAGTCAATTGACTATAGTGGGCATTTATTTCAATTGACACTTCGTCACTATGAAATTTATGTAGCCCTTCCATCATTTAATAGAGTAAACAAGTTCAGAATGCACCTATTATTTAAGTTTAAAGCAGCATGGCTGCCATCCAAAATCATGATCTTGGTAACAGTGTCTCACAATTTAAAGTCCAAAGGGCCTGATTTAATATTACCTATTTTAGTGAAAACTGCCAAGGCCTGGTATTTCAAGAATAAAATGTGTTCTAGCCAGTAATAATCTGGCATTCAGTGTTTATAAATGAGAGTCTTTATGTCAGATGCAGGAAGAAAAGGCATTTGCTACAGCAAATAATGTATGTCATGAATTGTTATTACTGCAAGAATGTGGGCTATAATTTTAACTGGAACTATAGGGTTGAGTGGACAAACTGTTGTAGCGAAAGACTTTCTAGATTACATTTTCCTTTCAAGAGACTAAGTCCATTTATTTTCTATAATTGCCGGAGATTTTAAGGGGAGCATACCCAAGCTCTGAACAATGTGGATTTCACGTCATCCTCAGTTTATCTCATGTGAATCATCATCCTTAATGAACTCATCAGGCTCATGGTAGTCAATTAATATGATCAGTTTGTTATGTGCACATTCAGTGCAGGTAAGGGGGGAAAGGCAGGGCTCCTCAGCAATCTGTTCACTGATTGTTCATCCTGGTTGCACAAAGGTTACATGGAGGTCAGTAGCAGATGGTGTGCTGGGGCTGAGCCACTCACCTGAGTCACTGCTGCAAACTGGGATGGAGAAGAAGAAGGACAAGGCACTTGCAAGGTCAGTGTGGTGTAAACACTACAGCAGGAACACTAGATTAGCTCTTGCATGGTGGTGGATTTGCACAGCACTGACATGTCCGTCTCTGTCCTGGTATGTAGCACTGACTCAGCTGGAGGGAGAGCAGAACAGCAGTGAATTCCTGAGGAGTCTGCTGATTCTCCAGAGAGGAGGAGGCGTGTTCTGCTCTCTACTTATTCTGCTCCAGCACCAAGTCAGTCAGTCAGTCAGTCAGTCAGTGTCAGGGAGAGAGAGAGAGAGAGACTGTTAGAGATCATGTGTAGAGATAAGGTTGCTGCTAAGAGCAGCTGCAGACACTCAGTGCAGTGCAGCATTCATTTATGCTTAGACCTATTTAGCTCTGTATATAGTTGTATAATAGTTGTAGTTATAGAATAAAGAAGATATTCTACAGAGCTGCTCTCCGAGTTGTTTATATACTCTGCTAGAGTCTGCTGTACTCTGCTGTGCGATGACTGTCTTCTTGTGGAAGTGAATCTGGTGCTCACAACTCTAGGCTGTGAGTCCACAGCACTTTGACCTGTTCCTGTGCAGAAGGTGGTCTCTGGAAGTGCTACCCAGCTCGCCTAGCCCAGTCGGGGCTGAAGTGGATGAGTCCAGTTGGTGGCACTGGCTCAAGGGCGATGCTGAAAGATCAGTGATGGCCAAACCTGGCCCTCCAGCTGTTTTGGGACTACAACTCTCATCATCCCTAGCTAACAGGACCAGTGGTCAGGGATGATGGGAATTGTAGTCCCAAAACAGCTGGAGGGCCAAGTTGGCCATCACTGTAGTAGATGTTGCAGTATGTTGAGGCTTAACTGAGCATTCATTCTGATTCATTTTTGGGGAGGGCTATGTTTTTTTCCATTTAATCATTTTTGCATCCCACACTATTCAGGGCATTTCTCTGTCACTTTCCTAATGGCAAAAAGTCTATGGTTTCTTAAGTAGATATGTTCTGCTGGGGCAATAGCACTCTTTAATCTACTTTAACTGCACACACCTAAATTTCTGCTATGTGTTTGAATTCTTCCCATAAACCTGGAACACTCTGGAGGCACCCGAAGCCTCAAATAAGTCCAGTATCGAATTGACTTTGAAAGAAGCCAGTCTCCTTAAAATGGGAGTTCTGATTTGAAATGCAACAAAGGACACTGCCTACTAATGAATATATCTGTCTGTTGCAAGGCACACTGAAGCTTAATCATATATTACTGCTGGGTTTGTGATGCCATATTGGTGATGTCTGTAAACAAAAACCATGTGACTCAGATGACACATGTTGGTATGAGCAAGTAATCACCTCATTTGGTTTCTTTTTACAGATTTTACCAGTGTGGCACAACGTCAGATCACATGGAAGCAATTTGCATGCCAAAACAGTAATTTATGAATCAGACTCGAA